GAGAGCACAAGCATCAGAGCTCCGTCCAACAGACCGTAACGGACGAACAGCCAATAGAGGACTAAGACGAAGCCAGGACGAGGACTAATTCGGGTGAGGATGGAATCGAGAATCTCTGAGATCCGGCGGCTCTGGAGGATGTCTCGGGCGCCGCGGACTTCTCAGGGCGTTCCAAAACGCTCTGGAACGGATTGATCCTCGCCCTACGCAGACCCGTCCGCAAAACAACCCTCAGAAGAGCACGAGGTGAACGAGGCGGAACGAGAGCGTCGTGGGCCGGAGGTGGAGGGGGAGGGAGAGGGGGAGGGAGGAGAGTGGCGAGGGGAGGACGGGAGGGGGAGGACGGGGAGAGAGGACGGGGAGAGAGGACGGAGAGAAGGGGGGGGAAGGGCGAGGAGGCCGAGAACAAACAAAAATGATGGGCGGAGAAGGACGAGGGGCACAGGGGATGGAGCATGGCTGGACCTACACGTTGGTTTGCGTGTTGTGATCGTTTTGATGTTCGCTTTGCTCTCTGTTTTCTGCACCTCCCGCCCATAACGAAAAACAAAACACAGACGACGTCGAGCAAAACAGCGTTTAGGTCCAGCCATGGGATGGATGTGTTGGCTTCAGCGGGCACCAAGCGCGCCCGCCCCGCAGGAGTCCGCCAGGCCACTGGGTGCGTTGGCAGCCCGGCAGCCTGGCAGATCCGAAATGTGTGTTTGCATTTTCCGAGACGGGGCCCCGAAGTCCTCCTGCTCCTCCTCCGATTCGGCGGCCGAGCGGACTCAGTTGCCACGACCTTGGCGGAACTGAGCCAGTTCGGCCGCCCACCCAGCAGCCGATCGCGCTCAGGCGCCGAGCTGGCTAAGAAGGGAACCCTGGAGGAGGGGGGGGCTGAGGGTGAGGGCGGGGGAGCTCGGCGGAACTACGCACAAGTGTTCGATGGAGCCAGACCCCTCACGGGGGGGCGGCGGGAAAAACCTCGGGGAAACCAAGGCTGTGGGCGGAGATCAACGGTCAGCGAAGGGGGGGTAAGCGACAAAGGAGGAGGCCTTCTCAGAAGGCGGCGGGGTTTCTCAGAAGCCCGCCGGCCGCCTGAGAACTTTTCTGCGTCCGCGGGGAAGGCTCAGAGAACTGCTCAGAAGGACCGAGGCCTTCCGAGCCATCTGAGAAGGCCTCTTCCTTCTCACTTCCCCTCCTCGCCCGCCGACGAGGGGGAGGGGGACTTGGCATCAACTGGGCGGAGAGGAGGAGGGGGCATGTGGAGTTCATTGCGTGAGATTGTTTCTGGTGTGTTTATTCTGGTCGAGCCTCCTAGACCCTGTAAGACAAACGCCTGTACGTGCCTTTGCGCTTCTCTTTTTCTGCAGCTGTCTGGCTGAGGTGAGCTCTCACACGCTAGGTCCGAAGCTCAGGCGGACCTTTCGCGTACTGTACTAGCGGAGCTGATCGAAAAGATATGTATTTTCATCATATGTGATTGTTTGCGTGGTGTCTTAGGCTCTGACGAGCTCCAGATACCCGCCGAGACCAAGATCTGGATCACTGGATATTATACACATATTGACTTCTCGAAGCTAAGGGCTGAGATCCGTGTATTGGCACGCTGCACTGACAGGGGCCTCGGGGAGGGGCGGGGGCGGCCATCCCAGCGACGGTCCAAGGGGGGCGAGCTCATAAGAGAACCATGCTCCCACGCCCTTGCTCAGGAAAGAACGCGCCAAGCGTACATGATAGCGGAACACACGTCTACACACGCCTCCCAAGCGTGCTCGCTACTCTCATCATAGCCCACAAATTACAACTTGGACCACGTGGCAGTATGATTACGATTGGGTACCCGATTGGCGCTTACACACCTGCCGACACGTGCCACATGAACGCGCCCTGACCGCGCGCTCGACACCCACACTCCGCGCTCGCATTTTCACAATACGACGACGATACGAATAACGGTTATATCAATCCGCGCGGGGATGCGGGAGCTTGCCCCGTAGGCTACGGCGGCGGGGCCCTAGCCACGTTTCGCGTTGGGCGGCCTTGCCTAAATTTCTTATTTGGCTTTGCTTGGCATTGTTTGGAACCGCTGCTGATCCCTGTTTGGCATTGCTTGACATTGGTTGGCGCTGATTGGAGTCATTGCATGTCCTTGCCTGGCATTGCTTAGCTTGGCTTGGCATTGCTCGGCACCGTTTGGCATTAGATTGCCATTGCTTGACATCGCTTGGAATCGTCACTAGGCATTCCGTGGCATTCGTTGGCGTTGCCCGGCATTGCCAGACTTTGCTTCATATTGTCTGGTAGTGCGGAACATTGCTTGGCATTGATTGGCGTTGATTTGTGTTGTTGGCACTGGTTGGCATTGATTAGAGCTGTTTCGCGTTCGTTGACGCTGATTGGTCTTAGATGGCGTCGCGTGGCTTTGCATGGCTTTGTTTGGCGTTGCATTGGTTTGCACTTCTCGGCATTGAATGGCGCTGCTTCACATCGCTTGGCAACCCCGGGCAACCCTGGGGAATCCTGAGCAAGCGCAGGCAACGTGTCTGACGCAGGACCCCGCCGCACCCACTGCCCCAAGAACGCGAAGCCTAAGTAGGGGAAAAATACGCCTGCTCGGCAAACTCGGGGCGACAAGCTGCCACGCATGAGCCACCATGCCCATGGTAAACGCGTCCGTTTATGGCGCGCTCGCAATCTTCGGGTCAGGCACCAGTCACATGAGTTAAATGAACGGCGACTTTGGGTGCAGACCTTGGCGGCAAGTTGATCAACATGCGCTTGAAACTGCACTCGAGAACCGATCGAACGCAGCAACCCACGCCGACCAACTCAGGAAAGTCAGACTGGGCATCGCCATACTCACTTACAACGAGGACCACACACATGCTACCAACTGGGATGTCCACACGTATGGACTCGTAGGATGACCCAGTTTTCTTGCCCACCCAGACCAAATTGCCTGCACGCAGGGCGTCTGCTGGCGCCCAATCCATTCCCTCAAGTCCGTTATTGCTTCGCTACGGGGGTGCCTGACTGAGACGCAGGTCATCAACGTCGACTCCGCCTCAGTGACAACACAAGTGCAGAAACCGCTGGACCAGTGACCAGTCACGGGTTGAGCTGCGCGGTGCGCCATCGGGAATCGTACTTTCGATAAACCTGCACGTTCCGCAAATATGATACACCTGTTCGATATAAACAATTTACCAGTCTGTTTGGTAAGCTTCATGCATGGGAGATTCGACAAAATGGTTTTGGCACCTCGACGTGCACGACGAGAGAAACTCCAAGGCACTTGATGTCATCCCCTGCAATTCAAGCTGCATGGATAAGCCCTGAAATCACGAAAAGTGCCCATTCAATACGGCGTCTGCGCGCCGAGAGCCACCGCGCTAACTTTTTCATTGAGCGCGTCAGCGAAGCAACGCCTCCAACGGCGCTGCTTGGATGCCGGATTCCCTGAACCTGCCGTCGGTCGGACGCTGACTTCCCGAGCGACCGAGCGATGCCAAGTGAACCAATACCTCGTCGACTGGCGCCATGACACCACCACTTGCGAGCCATCCCGCCACGTGTAAAATATCATCGGACTGGGGGCGCAGCTGCCCCACCTTGTTCTCGAGCCCCCTTGACTGAGACCCCTTGGACCGCGCCCTTTGGCCCAGAAAGCTCCTTGACTGAGCCTCCTTGAGCCGCGCCCCTTGGCCCAGAATGGACGCGATCAGCATTGCGCGCGCACTCTAATTCGAGCAAGCTGACGCCCGCGTGGTCGACGCCGCTCTCCGGCGCCTGCGCGCGCGAGAAAACAAGTGCCAAATGCGCGCCGAAGCACGGGCTGGATACTCGGCGGCGCGCACAAGGGGGGTGGGGGGGGGGGGGCTTCCGTGAAGGAGCCTGCTTCTTAGAAGGCGCCGGCCTTGCATATATAGATAAGGCCCGCGCCTTCTAAGAAGGAGGGGTGTTTCTAAGAAGCCCCCCCCCCGCCCCCCTCTGCGCGTGGCTGAGATGCCTCGTTTGGGCGCCCGCCCCGCTCGCGCGCGCATCCTCGCGCGTGAAAGATGCGACGACCAACGGGTCTGGGGCCAACGGGCCCGACAGAACAGGGAGGACCCGCGACTGGAGTCCCTTCCCGGAAGGCCCGCCCGAAAACCTTCGCTCCTCCTCCTGCCCATCCCCCCCCTCGAGCGGCGGCAATGGTCTGTCATGCTTGAAGGGGCCCTTGGACACACAAATAAAAAGACAGCGGATTGGCGTCCGCCTCCGCTTTCCATTTGCGATTCCCTGTTTCGTAATTCGCCCACAAAACCGCCTTCCCCCGCCCTTCCGCGCACTTCCGACACAACCTCTCCCCCGCTGCGTCGCGCTTCTTCTGAGCTTCCGACATGTCCACCTTTTCGCCGTACAACGACAGGCACTTTTCGTTCGCACATCGCACAGCGCCGACGCTCTCGTTCCACTTTGCGTTGCCGCTCCGCGACTTCTGCCTGGCTTTGACATGGCTGCATTTCGCGCAGTACATTGTCCGAATACGTTTCGCTTCCCCGCCGTCTGGCGCTGCATCCGCGCCCGACCGCTACCATGTCGACTCGCATCGTGACCCTCGGTTCTCGTTGCCCACCCTTTGCACGTGGTGCACCATTTTTCGTCACCGTTCTTCCTCTCTTCCGTGCACTCTTTGCAGAACGCTGGCCTTTCCTTCCTCTGGAACTCGTACTTCGTGAAAGCCTCTACCAGCAACCTCCGCCGGCAGCGCTCGCACTGATCCCTGGGCATCCGTTCCTCCTCCTCCACAATTACTCAACAATTACTCAATATGAAAATACTCTCCCTCTTCCCCTGATGGCGTCCGGGTGATGGCCGCGCACCCTCCGCGTACTGTTTTTTACACACAAGATTCCCGGGAAATCCCGGGAAACGACTCTCGCTGAGGCGCCGGCGCCATTTTTTCCCAAAATGCTGCTCTCGTTGAGGCGCCGGCCTCATTTCTGCTCCCGAATCGTTCCGAATCGTGCTCC